GTTAATGAATGTGCAAAACAAACAATGTAAAGAGAATAGATTTGTTGTCTTAAATTAAACATTTCATAAATGACTCAAACAAAGAGGCATGGGAAGCAATGTTCTTGTGATGAAAAGGAGAGTGACTCGTGACTAAATGAATAATAGCTGTGTTTTTCAAGTTTAAAGAAATGTAATTGCACATGAGACTTCAGCCAAAGAAAGCAAAAGCTTGAGTTAGACTGGAGTCTTCGTGAATAAATGTTTAATATGCACTAACTACGAACTGGTCTATTGGGCAAATTTCATGCTCTTTTTAGTTGAACGTCCATATTTGATCTACATCAGGCCTAAAAGAAGAAAGAATAATATAGGATGAAGAAAATAGAAAATAAAAAGAGATGAGGAGAAGAAGAATACAAACAGAATAACATTTAACAAATTAAAAGAACAGAAGAAAAGAGAAAGTATAGATCTTCGTGGCCAATTTCGCAACTTTTAAAATTCATTCAATAGAAAAATGATTTGTCCCAGTCTTGCTATTCGAAAGTATAAATTCATGATCTGTGCATTTAAATTCGCGTTTGATTAAATCGAATTATAATGTTCCTCATTCTAATTCGTTGGTGATTTACGCTTTTCGTCAGGCGTACATACATTTTAGAATGACATGATTACGTAATCCTGTCCTTCATACATTCAAAATCATTTTGAGCAACCGACTTAGCATTTCGTTCATTGAAATTATTCAGTTACTTCGATGAATTTGAATGAATCTCGCATGGCACATGTGCAAGACTCGCTTGAAAGTATGCTGCTCTTAAATTGGCCGCCATGTATAACTATTATACAGTGCGTCCCAGAAAAAACGAAACCGAGAATTATCGATGTTTTATCATAACTTAGTCACATTTATAATTAATAAATGACACATATTTGGAAAGCTTAAATCCTCTTCTTTCATTTGATGCAAGTCAAATGATGCATATTTTACGCATGAGGGATTAAAATGAATTTGAAGAGAGGAAACCCAAAAGTCATTTGGCGAACTGTATCTGAATTTCAAAGAGAAAATCACATTTCTAGAAAGTTGAGTTCCAGCCCTTTCGTATGACACCTCAGTCAGGAAAGATGAGCTAGGAATAACAAAGTTCTGTTTGTTTAAAGGTACTATATCCCATTTGCAGGCCAAAAATGAAAAGGTTAAATTCCAACGGCATTTGATAGATAATAGTAATTTAGAACTTTCCTAAAAAAGGGGGGCTTGAAAAAGTCTTCAAGTGGGAAAATAACGACTATTAGCTGTTAAATCGACTTAGGAGCCATAGAGCCAATAAGTAATAGTCTTGATTTTCAGGCCATTGTACCGAATTGTCATACGTTTTATGCTGTGGAAAGATTTAATTGGTTTAATTTTGGCAATCAAAAGAAGTGGGTTATTGATGTAGACAAATGCTCATGTACCCCTAACAGCTCATTTTATGTATGTTATTACCAAAGAAGAAAAAAGCCAGTCAGTCACTCAATAGTGTCTGACAGTGACGTCTAGCAAGAAAACGGGTTTCCTTGCATAATTTGAATATTAGAACACTGCTAACGTTTAAATTTTACAGATAGGACATACATGACATATTCATACTTCTTGCAAAGTTCTATAGAATTTGAGGTTGGCTGCAAAAGGGGCATAGTACCTTTAAAATAGTGCTTGCATTTCCATAATTTTATCAAACGAATTCGTTTTCACTGGCTCCCGGCCGTAGCAACAAACAGAATTAACAAAAGACCTAACTCCGTTTCTTTGACAATCAGCCGCAGACGAAAGATTCGGTAATCTTTCTTGAGGGTTTGTTAGTCCTGAAAAGGACAGTTGGTACATAGTCTTGAAAAGGGCTGTTGGTTATCTTTCTATAGCTTATAGTTTTAAGGAGAACTATAGCGCTTGGAGAGGATGAGTGGCGGGAGTTGGCTCGACGTTTCGAACAGGTTGACTGTCACTATCCTCTCCTGACGACGTGACACGTGAATTTTTAGAGAGCAAAAATGTAAAAGAGAGATACGTCGGCGGCGAAAAGGAAGAAAACTATTGATCCTTATTAATAAATGCGCCCCAATACGCAAGGTAAAATACATTAGAAATAGAACATTTTCTCAAGCTCGGTCGCATCTCGCATAATTATGTTGCACAGGATCTCGTAATTTATGCCCAAAATATGGATAGTTTATTGGGGGAGGGGATAGCGTTTTCAAATGGTTCCAAATTTGACATCAAAATAATTAAATTTCTTAAATGCAATTCAACTTTTGAAAAAATATTTTATTTTGGTTACCTTGCTAAATCCCTCATTCATTCATTAATTGTGTTCAACACTTAATGAGGAATGAATAGAAAACCAACTTTCTATGTTCAAAATGCGTACATCTTTGATACTACTCGATCGCTGCGCTTACTTCCTTAGCCGGACGCCTTGCTCCCTCGCTTGCACAGTTACGTAGATAAAGTGGGGGGGGGGGGGGGTCGCAGTTTTATCGATTGCTCTCGGCGCCATAATCCATATACGTCACTGTTTATACAGATTTATGAATTGATTTGTATGTAAAGTTGGTTTAGATAAGTTTGGATAAAACCCAACTGTCTATTAGACGGGGCCCTGGGTTCTGATTTTGTATTCCGCCCCTATTCTTTCTTCTAAATTAAATAAACATTGCTGATACCTGATGATAGAATCCTCTGCTTCTACCTATACAATGTCTCTTTCACCTCCACTTTATTGTGGTATCTGGTCATTTAGCAGGTGGTCGTAGGCGGTTGTGAAGGGGATCGCATTTGAAATTTTCTCATGAATTTACCTCTTCCACTTTTCACAATGTGCTTAAGAATCTTTGGTGCTTGCAAGAGTGTGTGGAGTTTGTAACTGATATTATCACCTCAAAATGGCTTCAGCTTCTCCAGGGCATCACTGATAGTATGTGTGCAACCGGTGCATAATCACATATAAGTCCTGGTGCATAATCACATATAAGTCCTGGTGCATAATCACATATAAGTCCTGGTGCATAATCACATACAAGTCCTGGTGCATAATCACATACAAGTCCTGGTGCATAATCACATATAAGTCCTGAACCGTGTCTCTGATCGGGGACTGAAATACTATGTAACTCCCGTTTTAATAACTAATATGACTTTGAAATTTTGTTCATGATGAAAAGTAAGTAATTTTCTTTCAAATGATAGCCTATCCATAATATTCCTCCCGCAGTGAATAAGCACCACGGTCTTTAAAAAGTTTTACCTTGTACCAAGTTTGGGCTGATGGAACGAATTTGAGTCAGGCCATTGTGCATAATGCTTAAAAGTTAAATTTTGCCTCGTGATTTGGTGCTTCATTGTTTAAAATGATGCAATGTAGTTAAGCTTTCACATTATCTTGTATCAATACATAGGATAACCTTTACGTTGTTTTGAACAGTTTACTAATTTGTCTCATGATTATTTTAATTCTGTCTGACCGCTGCGCCATTTCACATACGTAAGGAGCATAAGGTCTTTATCTCGAATACCGGTTTCGTAACCTTTGAAAACTCAAAGGTAACGAAATCCAAATGCAAAAAAGATCACTTATGATGATATGTATCAAAGAACATTTTTCATGAAATGTGTTATCACCCCGTATGAAATTTAATTCTTTTTCATATGACATCTCACACATGGTAAAAAGTGATCTCAAAGATAGTTCACTCCACACGTTGATACCCCCCGACTTTTAACGACATTCCATGTCTCAAAAACCTGCTTCCCCCTGGGTAAATTTGTTTTTACAAACCTGCCCAATCCCCTAAAGTAAATGACAGTCTCCACCAAAAATAGTGTTTACGATAAATTGAACGAACGTTTTATCAAATTTGCTGGAAAAACTACGAAATTGGCCAATGAAACCTTTATAAAATCTCGTTGACAGATGTCAAAGTCTCATCAATTACGTTAGTGGAACATGTATGTGTTGTATAAGTAACGGTAATTGCTCGTATCATCATCATCATCATCACCATTATCAGTATTACCATTATCATCCATTTCAAAATGCTCATCATAGTAACTTATTCAGTTGTTGTTTGTTCTTGTTCTTGCTGATTTAAAAAATATTAATATTTTTCTAAATACAGGCTAAAGACCCAAAGATAGGTGTATTTTGGAAGTTGCTGCTTGGTACCGTAACCTGCTTGTCCTTCGGTAAGTATTTTTTTTAACTTAACATATCCGTAATATTTTTTTGAATATTGCAAAAACATAGCTGGCTTACAAAATTTCCACAATAAAGCGAAATAAGAGCGAAGTGAAAAACCTAAGTTAGTCTGCAAGCACAGACTGATTTTGACACTTTATCACAATTCATAAATCCTTGGGCAGAGCGTAGATCTGCCTGTTTCTGGCTGTATCAAAACAAGCAGGTGAAGTATACACAGCCAATAGTATAGTCACGATTTGCAGACACAACCATTGACAAGGATTTATGCCCTCAAACTTGACCTGATGAACATGGCATCTCAAACCAAAAAACACATCCGAAAAAAGTCTCTCTAATAAATGTTTCAAAATATATGTTAAAAAACCTGCATCCTCAAGATTGAGAAGAGGGTTTAAGGCAAGGACGAGGAGGAGCGGTAAAGGGAGGGAAGGGAATGATGATTAGGCTCGAGGATGGCTATATGAGGATGAGTAGGAGAGGAGCAATGGGGAGGAAGAGGAGTATGAAGAGGGGGTGGAGAGAAGTAGCAGGGCTGGTAGGAGGAGGAGGATGTGGTGGAGGAGGAGGAGGAGGAGCAAGAGGAAGAGGGAGGTAGAGGAGGTCATGAAGAAGGAGGTGAGGCAGGAGGAGAAGAGGCGTAGGAGGAGGGAGAAAACAAATAGCAATTAATGTTCTAATATATTCTTCACAGCCTTGCCTGTGTTATCGGATAGGACATCTTGTTCAGACTGGTACGGCCTAAATTACACTTTGCCCATGTTCCAAAAGTGTAAGATGGTGCGACTCCGCGATGGCAGCATGGTGCAGAGCATCCCCAAACTCATCCCTTTCCCTTCTGTCATCGGCGGGTGCCACCAAAGGAAGAGTAAAGAAGGGATCCCGGGCGGGCATAGAATATGCAGAATCCCGTGTAGGTTTCATTTTGTATTCATGTTTATTCTCATATGTCAAAATCGTTTCTTTGTTTAATCAATAAATTTACATGCAGATAACACGGACTTCAGTGATATCATTAAAGTTTGTTATCAACTCCTAAATTCTTCTACTACTACTACTACTACTACTACTACTACTACTACTACAACTTTTGTTATTACCTCTACCCCACTACTACTACTTCTACTACTAATACTAATACTACTACTACTACTACTACTACTACTACTACTACTACTACTACTACTACTACTACTACTACTACTACTACTACTACTACTACTACTACTACTACTACTATTACTACTACTACTACTACTACTACTACTACTACTACTACTACTACTATTACTACTACTACTACTACTACTACTACTACTACTACTACTACTACTACTACTACTAACAATACTACTACTACTACTACTACTACTCCTACTACTACTACTACTACTACTACTACTACTACTACTTCTACTACTACTACTACTACTACTACTACTACTACTAACAATACTACTACTACTACTACTACTACTACTACTACTACTACTTCTACTACTACTGACTACTTCTACTACTTATACTACTGCTACTACTCCTACTACTATTATTACTACAACTACTATTACTACTACTTCTACTACTACTTCTACTACTACTTCTACTACTACTACTACTACTACTACTACTACTACTACTGCTACGTATATTAATACTTACACTACGATGACTACTACTACTAACAATAACAATTATGATAATATGTAATAGTAATAATAACGATGAAAAAAATATGATAATAGTAATGAAGATGATGATAATATGAATACGTATGATTATAATATTAATATTAGTAACAATGATGATAAAATAATATAATAATGATAATGATTATTATGCTAACATTAATGATATCAAGAACAACAATAACAGTAATTGTGATAATGATAATAAAAATGTATGTGACAAAATTATTGTCCCATCATGACAAGAAGAATATCTTATATTTTTGTTCTGTTTTAACTCAATCGAATGTCGAAGATATTTCAGGGAACTAAAACTCTTTTCGACCCAGTGACAATGCCATCCTAATTTGTAAAACCTATTTAGATTGTGAAACTGAATCGTTCCAGTCGAAAAGTAACATCAATCGTTTAATCAGAAAGCTGTTCAAAATAGCGAGAAGACTTGACTGGTACTCCATTAATAGGAAATTCATTGACAATTAATTTCAGGCTACTGGGTGATTTGAGTATTAATTATTGATGGTTTACAATTTTATTGCTTGGTATTTCGTTTGATAACGATGGAACGGCTGACGAGTTTAAAATATTGGATTCGTCGATATATTGTAATAGCGAGAGCAATTTATTCTTGTATCACACGAAAACTAAGCCATACAATATTATTATTAGTTTCTGTCATATATTGATCTGTCATCTGGGTACTACGCTAAAGATATTATATACACTGATTTATTGTACCCCATTGGAAGCCTTTAATATATAATAATGAGTTTTATCCCGGTTATTACTTATTTTCGCAGATTGTGACGAAAACCTCTGTAACAACGGCTGGTGTGAAGAGACTATGGTAGGCTACAACTGTACCTGCTCAAGTGGGTTTCAAGGGAGACACTGCGATGAAAGTAGGTGTAATATAATATAGTATCGGGCCAATTAATGAGCAATTAATGAGTGGCCAATGAATGAGCAAAGAGCAAAGAGTTTGCTGTATCTTTTATCAGAAATTGTACATACATTCTGCACTGCACCAGTACGACAATACATGACGGTAGCCGGTACTGCAACTGAAGAAGAAGAAGAAGATGATGATGATGATTAAAAAGAAAGTACATCACTGCCCTCTTTCGGAGCTATTTCATAGAATTGGGAGTCCCACGGGGAAAATATTTCTCCGATTTGTATCAGCTCACCCCCCCCCCCCCCCCCCGCTCTTGATCTTATCCCCGTACCCTGACTAAGAGCGCGTGGAGACAGCCGGCGGGGAGATATTTCAATGAAAATAATGTTATGCATCGTCATTTATCTCAGTTATGTTTATTTGTTGTTGTTATTTGGTATTTTCAGTGATCATACAGTCAACGACGGAAGCGACGACCAATCCTACGACGAGCCCTACGACTACGATGTCGGAACGCTCAGACACAACGACTTCCCAAAACACCACTACCTCTAGTATGTCTCCGTCATGCATATATTTTCATACTAAGTCTAGTCACTATATGCCCTTTCTCTCTCTCTCTCTCTCTCTCTCCCACTCTCTCGGTCTATATCTGACTCTATTTTTCACTCCTTTCTGGGCGTTGCTAAAACATTTTTTTAAGGGGGGAAGTGACCGTCTAATTCTTTTTTGTTCTAGTCTTTTTTATTTGTTTGGTCATTCTTTCATGAGCGTCGCTCAACCACTTTATAAGGAGGCAGCTAGTGCCCGTCAAATTTTTAAATTTACATTTTGTCTATAAATTTAACGACCAGGTTTTAGTTGTTGTTGTTCTTCTTCGTCTTTTTCCCTCTTTGCATGTTCTTTGTATCTGTCTGTCTGATCCCCTATCAATACCTGACTCCGGCTCCTTTTTTGTCCCACTCAATTAATTTTTTAATTAATTTTATTTTTTATTTTTTATTCCGTTCAGAGTCGGTGACAACGGAAGCGAAAACCAAGTCCGCGATGAGCCCTACGGCCACGATGCCAGAACGATCAGAGGCAACGACATCGCAAGAAACCACCACCTCAAGTAAAAAATAAAAATAAAAAAATCCACTCCCTCTCTCTCTCTCTCTCTCTCTCTCTCCCCCTCTCTCTCTCTCTCTCTCTCTCTCTCTCTGTCTTTCTCTCTCTCTCAGCCTTTATCCCTTTCCTGTCACGGGCGCCGTTAAGACCTTAAGGTTCCCGTCTCATTCGTTCGCCCACGAGTTTAATGACAACAAACACATTTAGATAATTTATTTTTGAAAAATTCATGGGCTTTGACAAAGCATCACTAAATCTACAAACACAAATAATACCACATGAAATAAGTAAACTGATACAATTTATATGTTGTCATGTAGCAGAATTTTCTTTGTTTTGGCCTTCTATAATCGTGTTTAGGTTGTCATTCCTAATCTCATTGCTTTGAAAGTGTGGTTTAATTTCTTACAACCCTCAAACATTTCAGAGTCAGCAGAATTATCGACTACGGACGCGACGACCAAGGCCACGACGAGTTCTACGACCACGATGTCAGACACAACGACATCGCAAGACACCACCACCTCCAGTAAGTAAGAGAAACAATGAAATGATGTCATGCTTTTGATCATCATTATATTTTGTCTAGCCACTACCCCCTTCTCTCTCTCTCTCTCTCTCTCTCTCTCCTTCTCTCTCTCTCTCTCTCCCTCTCTCTATCCCGTCCCCTTTACTGGCCACCTCACCTCCACCCCTCCCCTTTTCTCTCTCTTCATCTCTCTTTTAATCTTTATCTGACTCTGAGTAAGAGAAACAATGCAATAAATTCAGTGGTAGGTCTAGCAACTACTACTCTCCACTCTCTCTCTCTCTCTCTCTCTCTCCCTCTCCCTCTCTCTCTCTCTTTATCTCCCCCTCTCTCTCTATCTCCCTCCCTCCCTCCCTCCTCTCCTCCCCACCCCTCCTTTCCTCTCCTCTTTCATTCATAAACAAACAAAAAAATATATAAGAAATAACATTGTGAATTTCCTAAAATTTGCAATGTAAGGTATAACCAGTTTTGGAAACCCCCCCTCTAAAAAAAAATGTAATGGAAGCTCTTATTACCAATCATGTGAAAGAATAATTTTTGACTAAGTACGTGATGATACAAATTGTGCCGGTAATTTTAGTAGTACGACAATACAAGACGGTGGCCGGTACTGCAACTGAAGAAGAAGAAGAAGAAGAAGAAGAAGAAGAAGAAGAAGAAGAAGAAGAAGAAGAAGAAGAAGAAGAAGAAGAAGAAGACGACGATGATGATGATGATGATGATAATGATTAAAAAGAAAGTAACTCGCGGTCCTCTTTTCGAACTTTTTGATAGAATTGGGATTCCCACAGGAAAAGCATTTCTGATTTCTACCCCCCCCCCTCTTGATCCTATCCCCGTACCCTGACTAAGAAAGTGCTTTCCCCTCTCTTTCTCCATAGACTATGCTTTCTCCCTCCCCCTCAGTCTTTATCTCTATCCTGTAACGGGCTTCTCTAAAAGGAGGAGGTACCCGTCTCATTCGTTTGCCCACGAGTTTAATGACAACAAACACGCCATAGGAACACACCACTAAATCTACAAACACAAATAATACCTTATAAAATAAATAAACTAATACAATTTATATGTTGTCAGGGAGCACAATTGTCTTCGTTTTGGCCTTATATAATCACGTTTAGATTGTCATTCATAATCCCGTTGCTTTGTAAGTATGGTTTCATTTGTAACAACCTTCTTCAGAAGTATCGACTACAGACACCACGAGCAAGCCCATGACGAGCCCTAGGACCACGATACCAGACACAACGACATCACAAGAAACCCCCGCCTCCAGTAAGTAAGAGAAACAATGAATTGATGTCATGCTTTAAAAAAAAAATCATTATTATGTGTCAAGCCACTACCTCCTTCCCTCTCTTTCTCTCCCCCCCCCCCTCTCTCTCTCTCTCTCCATTTCTTTCTCCCCTCCTTATGCACCGACCACCCCTCCATCCCTCTTTCGCCCTCTCTTCATCTTTGTAGTTTCTCAGTCGAGTGATTTAAGCACTTGACTTGAAACCCAAAGGTCGTGGTTCGATTCCCGACAAGGCATTAATGTCCTTTGGCAAGGCATATAATCTCCATTTGCCATACTCGACCCAGATGAGATAAATGGGAACCTATCGGAATTAATTCCTTGAAATACTAGAGAGCCGTAATGGCAGCTAATCTTCATTTCCCACACTCGACCCATGTGAGGTAAATCGGTATTGGTATATATAGGAATTAATTCCTTGAAATACTGGAGCACCATAATGGCAGCTAGGTTAAAGCCAGTGTAATAATTAGTGCGCCTCGGAATAGAGTATTATTGTCACTCTTTCAGTCTTTATCTGACTCTGAGTAATAGAAACAATACAGTGGCGTCATGCATTTGATCATCATTATAATGGGTCTTGCCACTACCACTCTCCTCTTCTCTCTCTCTCTCTCTCTCTCTCTCTCTCTGTCCGTCTCTCTCTCTCTCTGTCCGTCTCTCTCTCTCTCTCTGTCCGTCCCTCTCTCTCTCTCTCTCTCTCTCTCGCTTGCTCTCTCCCTCCTCTCCTCCTCCCCCTCTTTCATTCATAAAAACAAAAATAACTGTATGAAATAACATTGTTATTTGCGATGGGGAGCAAAGTCTCTGTAGGTATTGATTATCATAACTGTAGTTTTGTTCATAAATCTACTTTTAGTATTATTATTTCATTATCAATATTATTATTAATTTCGTCATCATCATCATTATTTATTTTTCTCTGAATATTTCAGATTCTACCCAAATAACCACTTTGTCTACTTTCTTAAAATTGAGTAATTTACATATTTTATTTTCATCTTTTCAGCATGCTCATCTCCTCCGGTGGAAGGTAGCTACGGCGAGTCGTTCTACAATTTCAGCACTTGCTGGATGAATCATTCTTCTGCGGTTTCAGCTTGTTCCGAATACGGATCCCATCTGGTCTTCATCGAGTCGCAAGAGGAAGAGGACTTCATCGCGCAGAGTGTTAAGTACCTCGGTGACTGGAAGATTAGAAACTACTGGATCGGGCTGACCGGCTTAAGTCCCAGTGAGGCAAGTTGGCTAGACGGATCAAGTCTTACATATAGAAATTTTAAGACTAGATCGTTTGGAGAGAATGTAAACTGTTTTCGAATTCGCTTTAATTATGATGAGCAAGAGCCGAAGTATCAGTATAGTTGGCATGATAAGGATTGCTCGCATCAATATAGATACATGTGCGAAAAAAAGTGGGGATATGAAAATTAGATTTGTTTCTTTCAATTTTTCATACAAACTGGTTAAACCACTGATTGCATCTGAACCCATAAATGGGGGCAAGTGGATATTCCCCCCCCCCCCAAAAAAAGAAGATTTGCGTTCTTTTGTCATTGTTTGTATAAGTGTATCGGAGCTGTATGAATGTTTAAGTTTGTGGTTTTTGTCGTTCCATGCACTCATTTTCACACGAAGAGCTCTGAAAAAGATTGTTAAAGAGGTGTTAATTTATGATGTTTAAAAGACGGAGCTCTTTACACATTTACATTCAATAAATTTAGAAATAATGATATTGATGATTAGAAGTAGTGGTGGTTTCTACTTTTGAGTTTTATAGAATCTCATTTTTATTACCAAGAGACTTTGTTCAAACTTCATTGTATAATAATAGTTAGAAATGATAAAACGTCAACAACAATTGATTACAACATAAAAGTGCGGTTTGTGTAGTAGAGTATTTATATGGTCTATGATACAAATATTCAAACCTGTATACATATACGTACTTATACATCTACATGTAAATACACGTACACATACACTGTTGGTCATAATGGTGGAATAATTATTTTTACCCCAATTTATTGAATGATTTTGACAATGATTTATTCCTAATAGATCTAGATAATAGTATATATTCTCAGATTGTATTGAATGACAATTGGGGAGTGTTTGTTTTGCATGACTGCTAAAGCATGTGTGTGCTACTATGCTACTCAACTAGGGGACCTACGTCCTTAAGTCATAACTGAAAGTAATGGGGATTAATGCCTCGTAAAAGGGCACTAATATAGCACATCGACACGGTTTTGATCCTGGGGGCTCACAGTAACGAGGCCATTGCTTAGCCAATGAATCATGACTGTACGCATCGGGCGCTAATGTACGTCGACGCCCCCACAAAAACAAAAAAAAAACTAAGAAAATGCAATCAATTTTCAATAATTCATTGCATTTTCCCCCAGTCCCCAACAGGAAAAAATTCTCTGTAGGGCCATGCATTATGATTCAAGGCATGCCGACATAGAAGATATTCTTATGTTGGGGGTCGGGGCAAAATGCAATGAATCATTGAAAATGTATTGCATTTTCCTTGTTTTTTGTATTTGTGGGGGCGTCGACGTACCCTAGCGACCACTGCGTACAGTCATGATTTATTGGCTAAGCAATGGTCTCGTTAGTGTGAGCCCCCAGGATCAAAACCGTGTCGATGTGCTATATTAGTGCCCTTTTATGAGGCATTAATCCCCGTTACTAGTTAATTAGCATAGAAGCACACACATGCTACAGCAGTCACGCAAAACAAACACTCCCCGATTGTCATTAAATAAAATCTGAGAATGTATACTAATATCTAGATCTATTAGGTATAAATCATTGTCAAAATCATTCAATAATTTGGAGGAAAAAAAAATATTCCACGATTATGACCAACAGTGTACAAACACATATACATAATTATGCATACATATGAATATACAGTCTGTGGTCTCGTGTAATGAGCTTATACTTCAGATACGAATAGAACTAGTGAATAACGAAAACAAAAATGTAACGTCAATGTGTCAGAATACACGGCAACTTATGACATTATTTACTTGTTTTAACTTTAAAGTTTATCTTATTTATATTTCACAATAATTATCTTTAAAAAAAAATCGAATAAAATTAATAAATGCGTTCCTTCATTGAAAACTACAATCAATACATGACATCATAAAGTAATTCAAGACAAGCCAAAATATTTTTTTAAAGACAAAAGTCAATATTTCATTTCCCAAACTTAAGATATAATGAAAACGATTGTAGTGTGAAATATGAGTTAATTTAAAATAAGATGCTCGGCTTATAAAATATTAACTAAACACTGTGTCCCAGAAAAAATGAAACTCGAAAACAAATAAATCTTGTGAATATCTATGAGGTGTATAATAAGATTCCTTGCTTCCATAGAGTAGAATTAATATGCTTTCCAATGATACATTGATTACAATAATCTATACACGCTTCACTGAGCAACATTGTTTTTGCAATGCCATGTCAACATCCACTTTTGCAAGATTTGGGTGAAAGAGTAAAACCGTCAGTATCCAAATATCAAACGCGAACATGACCGATCATGACCTGAAAGAACACAAGTTTTAAAAGCGAAATGAGAAGATTATTTATGGGTTTTTATTATACTATAGGCAAGATTAATACCAACTTTATTATATAATAATGCATTGTTAAAATATTGTCGATGATAAGGGTAAAAGGGCATAATTCCCGTTCGTGAATGGGTCTGTAATATTATTGTAAAACTACCTGAAGTTTTTAAAAGAGCAAATTTAACGATATTTAAAAAACAAGAATCAAAATGATAGGCGCCTACATTTTGATAGTAATATTGATATTATCAGTATTTCTATTATTATTATTATTATTATTATTAATATCATTAACATTATTATTATAATTATTATCATTATTATTATCATAACTATTGCTATGACTATAAATATTAATTTACAAGTTAATAATTATATTTATTGTAAGTAAAGCCGATGTAAATATGCAAACTTGATACAACAGGTGTTGCCATATTACAGGATTATTCATTTTCTAAAGTCATTGAAATAGTAGCATTAGTGATTAAATGTTTGTTTGACGTGCAATAATCAGTTTCAATTACCATCCTGTCAATTGTTTTTGTTTGAGTAAGAAGAAGAGAAATACGCAGCACATAGAAAAGAGTGGAGAGGAGAAATTGAGAGAAGTTGTAATGAAAGAGATATATAATTTAGTGAGAGAACTCGAAAGGAAGAGATAAAGAGTGAGAGAATATGAGAAAGATATTGATTTAAAGTGAGAAAAGCTTGTCATGAAAGAGATGTATGAGAGAGTGATTTAATTTGACAGGAAGACTCAGATAAAGATTGCAAGAATATAAGAAGGTGACGAAGAGAGAGAATTTGTGATGAAAGGGAGTGAGATGATTTAAAAGAGAGGAATACGAAAGAGTGAGAGAATGTGAGAAGATAATAAAGAAACATTTTTAAGACATAGAAATTTATAAAGGTAAATGGATTGAATGGAAGAAATCAAGATTGTAAACAGATTGTAAGAAGATGATAAAGGGAGAGACTTTTTAAATGATTTATTTTTAAAATGATAATAAGCGGGATAAATGATTGAGAGAATTTGAATAGACGTGCTGTACACATAAACTGTGAGAATGTGAGGATGTAAAATTGAAATTAGAGAACTTCTTGTATCACGTTGTATACAACTCAGCATCGGGAAAGGGTGATTTATTTTCTACTATGAACGGAAAGAACAGAGAAAGAAGCTTATTTTTTTGTTTTAAATGATATTTTATATCCTTCCTCATAATTTCATATAACAAGAAATTCACATAACAAGAAATTATCAAAATAAGCAATATAAAACAAGATCTTTGATACAAGACACTTCATGAGTTACATCAATCAATGAACATAGAAAAAAAAAAAAAATTCTTGCATGTAACAGTGTATAATCAAAATAACAGTAGAGGAAGGTTTAAAGTGTAGATTTTTTTTTGGTTTTAAATGATATTTTATTTCCTTCCTCACAATTTCACATAACAAGAAATTCACATAACAAGAAATTATCAAGATAAGCAATATAAAACAAGATCTTTGATACAAGACATTTCATAGGTTACATCAATCAATGAACATAGAGAAAAAAAAAGGGAAAAAAAAAGTCTTGCATGTAACAGTGAATAATCAAAATAACAGTAGAGGAAGGTTTAAAATTACATATTACCATCCTATCACAACACTCTCACACCCCCCCTCCCCTCTAGCCCACCCACACCACCTTTAACACACATAAACATACATACAAACACAAACACACACTGCATGCAACCTGTTCCCTCAACTCACACCACACAAACTCTTAACCCCCCCCCCCCCCTAGCCCACCCATCTCATCATACCCCCTTCACGCCGACACACACACTGCATGCAACCTGTTCCGGTTTGTCCACCTGTACACGAGAGAGAATTAATAATACTAATAATAATAATAATACCCACATCCATTAAAGTAAAAATGCATCGATTTGTTCCCATTTCTGTAAGTGCATCCCCAGTTTCCCCTTTTTGAAGGCTATTTTGTATTCCTCGTCTCTGTAATTTTTAAGCATATGTACTGTTTTCTGTACAGATGGCAAAGTTCCTTCTTTTCTAGAAATAAAAATGATATACTTTACTAAAAATATGATACAATTTATTACAAATATTCTCGCAGTATTGCCGGATATTCCCATAAAAATGGGTTTCCAATCATCAATGTCAATTTCGATTAAATGTAACTTTTGAATTACCTCCTGCCATAATCTTTTAACTTTAAGACAATCTAAAAATAAATGTTGGTATGTCTCTACTTCTAGTCTACAAAAGGAACAAAAATGGTCTGACTCAAAACCAAATTTAAAGAGCTCTCTTTTCGTATATACAGCCCCTTGTAATTGTTTGTATTGAAACTCTCTATGTTTATTACAAAGCATTGCACATTTCATCCTTGTGAATGTTTCTTTCAACTCCGTCATTCCAAGATCAAATTGACAGTTGCCATCTGTAACATGTAATGTATACTCTTTTTGAAGGTCTTCAATGAAGTAATCATATAACCGCCTGGATTTTATATCACATAGTTTCTGTAAACGTCCAAATATCATCAATTCTATTTCAAAATTTTCAGTGTCCACTTCCATAAAATCACTTTGTATCCAATCGTTTCTAATTGCTGAAAAGATCT